GTTTCCCAAGGGATGGGATCATATTAGCTGTCCTTTTCTTTTCCCTAAGGATACAGAACATGATTTTGAGGTATGACGACTGGAAATGCACACAGCATGTCACATGTGGTTGCCCCATAGATTAGTCAAATATTTCCCTTGACACTGTTAGTCAACCATGCCAATGTCCTCAAGGCCAGAATACTTTATTTCCTGACTGGCACTGTGCCTTTTGGCTGAGTTTCTACTGTTCTAGTTTTTAAGTACCTTTCAAGCATTTTGGAGAAATTTAACTGTCTTAATTCCCCTCTTTCAGCTTCATTTTAACTCCACACATTAGAGAAATTCCCTCTTTCCTAGACAAATATGACTGTGTCAAACATGTTTGACAATATTCAACTTGAGAGTTAAGGGTAACTCAAAACATATTCTAGGTTATTTGGAGGTTTGGGCTGAGATGTCATCAAGATGCAGATGACACTCTGTTCTATCTCTCCTTTTCATCAAAACCAGGTGAGGCACTGACTGTTCTGAATCAGTACTTGCTTGGTAATGGGCTGGAGGAAGGCCAATAAGCTGAAGCTTAACCCAGACAAGATGAGGGTGCTCTTGGTCCATCTGGGAGACTCTCAACCTCTCTTGGATGGAGTCTTAGGACAAAGTATGTAGTCTGGGGGTGCTCCTGGATCCAGAGTTATTCCTCACGTCACAAGCTTGACTCTGATGGCCAGAAGCACCTTCTATCCACTGAGGCCGATTTTCCAACTATATCCCTATATGAACAAGCAGAGCCCCACCGGTTATCCACACCCTGGTAACTTCATGCCTGGATTACTGTAATGTGCAATCATGCTCAACCTCCATAGCACCGAAGTCACCGTGGCTTAGTGTGTCGTCCAAGCTCACGCCCAGTGCAACAAACCCATTCCAACACACAGCGCTCCTGGGTTGCCGTGTCACCTAAATGCAGGCTACATAACAAACCAGATGAAACCCTGAAATGTATGGAGCTGCCAGGCAAGAGCAGCAGAAAGCCTGAACAGTTCTGATGATGGCAGCACTCTGGGCTTCTGCATCTGCTTCCCGGATTTCCACTGTGTGCTGACACCACAAGTCTTGCTGGTAGCTTGAGGAGGCAGCAGGCAGTTCCTGGCTGCCATTTGGACCTGGTAGGAAAGAAAAGGCCACTTTGGCGAGCCGACTCCACCTTCCTCCTTTCTCAGTGTGGCCCGAAATGGCAAGTGGAACACACAGGGAAGGGAGGACACTTCGGCCAGCTGACGCAAACCTGATCCTCTTCACAATCAGCTCTGCCTGCCATTCAGGCTGGTGACAAGATGCATTCGCCCAGGCCAGGGGCCAGCAGCCTTAGCACTCAGAGCCATTCGGGCCCGTTTCCCACTCAAAAGAAAACACTGGGAGCCGCAAACCCTTTTGGTCTCTGAAATGAAGATAACACTGCATATATTGTTTTTTACATTCATGATATGTATATCTTCATTATGATTTAGCTGCAGCTCTTGTTCAGTCACTAAAAACTGTTGTTTTTAATCTTACATTATAAACTAGTAGGATTCCTTTCATATATTTTGAATAGGAGAACAGCTTCCGGAAGAGTCAAAGTCAGTGCTAAAGGGTTGCAAGTATTAAACAGCAAACCCTATAAGTTCGTCAGCAGTAAAAGCAAATGAAACTACCCAAGTATCATTAAACGTTTGGTTTTCTTAAGAAACTTTTCTTTTCTTCGATTTGTCAAAGCACTGTGCCGGCAAGGGCCTCAGATCAGCGGTGGCTGTGACGTGAGCGACGGGGACACAGCAGAGGCATTCAAGAGCACCATGCAGCTCCGAAGCCACAGGTTGCCGACCCCTGTGCTAGGCCTCCTAGGAGGCCATGGAGGTGCAGGGAGGAAGTACGTCCTTCAGTCCTGTGCTGAAGGGGCATGAGAACACACCCTATAGCTGCCAAATGTCAGGTCCTTGAGTGCAGCTGCCACAAGCATCAGCACTGATGGCTCTACTTACTGAAAGCACAGAATTAAGAACGGGACAGTATGGACCTTGTGACAGGTTATGGTGCATTGATTGATGACTTGCTGAGCCGTGTTGCTGCCAGCAAATGTTCAGGCACTCATGAGCATTCCAAGGTCTGTTTCCCCCTTCATCCTCCTGCTTGCTCCCAGCATGTATCTCAGAGGACTTTGTGGCACAAGTCCTCTCTACTCCTGCTGTGATGAGACGTCTTGTCCTGCAGAGGACTTGCACCTGAGTATGTATATGTATTGTTGAGAAAATTCAGATAAATCCTGGTAGAAATAGGTTGCTTCTACGAGTATGTGCCTTTGTGTTATAAAATCAAACTTTCACCACTTTCTCAGAAAGCAGCAACATTCCAAGGCAGGTTACTGTTCAGCATTAGTGTTCCCTTAAGAAGATGGAATTCTCAGCTGGACTGAGAAGCTGCTGTACATAGGCTATCACTAGAGAAATACCAAAATACTGGTATTCCCATCATCTGCAGAGAGCAGAGATAAAGATGTCCATTTGTTTCTGAATGGACCCACTTAATCATCTAGTTCCCCAGCAGCAAGTGCCTGTGCAGTGCAGCTGTCAAACCAGTTTTCCTGAATGGTCCCTCAATCAGACACATTTGCATGTTTAAACAGACACAGGACGATCCAAACTACAAGGGATATACTGAACTGACATGTCAATAAAGCAATCAATAATATTTTCCATACTATTGTTACCAGTATTTCTGATCAGTTTAGAACATTATGTCATGCCTAAAGACATCAAGATGCTGTTGTACTAACATTATCTGGAAACTTAACACTCTGTATTGGTGTATGTGACTAGCAGATTATAAAAGCGTCTGTACATGGGCTGTGATTTTTGTAGTTGCGTTTGTCTCTACCTAGGAGCATGTTGTCATTAGTTACTGCAGGAACTAGGGCCCCAATTCAATAAAGCCACAGAAGTTCAGATGTGTGGATCTTCCCCATGAGTCTGAGTGTTCATGCCTTGCAAACTGAAAACCAAGAGTCTGTCAGTATATGTATATGTGCCATTTCTGAGGCATGGAGTGGAGTCAGCACTTACCTTTCTTTATCAGTAAAGTGACTGAGGGTTTTATTTATTTTCTTTAATACTTAAAAGAATCCATAGCTGCTCCTCACAGCACATTCCTCTTCTTAGTGCAACCATGCTTGTACTCATGTTTGACTTGCCTCTGTTTAAATATGTGCATCTCCAATTTAGAACAATGACGATTTGAGCTTTCCCCATCTACTTTTCATGACAAAATCCCCCCACTCTACACAAATGGTTAAAAATAAGGGAGAAAATGAAACTTTTAAAAAATTTCCCTGTCCTCATTGGGGAGTGGATCATCAGACACCTCCCTCCCTTGAAGGCAAATATACTCGCCTGTGTATAAATCTTTATTGTGAAATATGTTGAAAACTTTAGCCAACCAGCACCTTTATCACCTGTTCTCAAATTCATCTAATCAAAATATGAAAGAACTGGCACATTTTATCTGAGAGGTCAATAATTTCCCAACATTTGTAGACCAGTGGAGTCTCAGGAGTAGGTGAAAACAATGGAGACACCTATGAGGGAACATGCACCCTACAACCTATGGGGGACAGTCAAAAACCTGAGGATCATGCTGCAAAGGGACAGAAACATTGCCTACTCTTTCTTGCAAGCAAAGGTCACTCATAGCTTTGCTCTGACTTCCCAGCTTGTTCTTTGACAGATGTTGCATCAAAGCAAAGAGGCTTTTTGAAAGCTAAATGAAACCTTCTATTTCAATGGTGCTTGTTTGGCACCAGTTGTGCTTTGGCATTACCCAGGTAAGGCTTCTCACTATCTAATCCATGGAACTTTGTACCTCCCAAGTTGCACAAGTCTAACTAAAAAAGATCCAAAGAAATATTTTTTAAAACCTGTCCACATTTGAGACACATTTTTAATAGGTGGTCAACCAGTGATAGCCATTCCAACGTGCACTTTGGAGGGGCTGTTGCTGGCTATCAATTTGGAGATGGTATTTTGCAATCTCGGGTAATAGAAATTGCAGGGGAGTAGCAGCAAGGGGGTTTTGTTACTCTAGCTGAGAGGTCTGCTCGCTGTTTCCTATTTAGGGGTACTTGCCCAGGTTTAGGTGACATGACAACCCAGTGAAGGCACAACAATCCCTATAACAACCCATGGCTTGACAGGGTGGTTTGCTGCTCTCAGACAAGCTGCCCTTGTCCATAGTGAGCAAAAGGGGCTTGTGATCACAGCAGGGAGAGAGAAGCCCTTTCGGTACTGCCATGGAGTCCTCTGGGGTACCCTCAGAAGGACTAAGGGGGAAGTTGCAGAGTACCCACAGTGAGCCCAATTGTCTGTTGTGACTTACTCACAGGTTGGATTAGTGTGATGTGCAAACCTGCCCAGATTGCCTCCCTGTCTGAGCATTTAAATCTGCCTCTCTCCCTGATCTAAACTCTAACACCGTATGCACCATGCTGAACTGTTTAGCTTTTAACAGCTGGCAGTTTCCATAGAACCACCGGTCTCTTGGCTTTGAATCTCTTTTAGGCTGCTTCTGCCCCCGACACTGCGTGGCAAACCCACGTTCCCTGAAGGTTGCCAGGTCAGAGGGAAGAGAGCTCATTGTTGGTATTGGAATAGATTATTGAATCCTACAATTCCATTATACACTGTTCCTCTAGCCTTCAGTCTAAAATGTAAGATTCAGGCTCTACTTTCTCTCCATTTAATGGTATTTTGTACTCAACATATTGACAAGACTGTGGAATGTTCCAAAACTGACTGACAGCTGGAAGTCTTTGTTCTGACCCTGACATTCTGAGGTTCAGCCTGTAAAATGAATAGCAGGTGGGCAAACATAGCATAACATGGTAGGCAAAAATACAGCAGATGTTTGGATAAACTCAAAAAGCTGTTTGCAGTGTACACAGAATGAGACTTGAGTCCATTAAGCACTCCTGCCCACTGTTTTTGACTGATTACTTTAAACAGGAACAGGCTGTCGAGTTTGCCAAAAGGCAGTTTCTTGTTAGCTTTTTAAAGCGTACCTCTTCATTCTGTCTGTTTCAGAAGGAGCTTCTTTGCCCAGATATGGGACTCTTCATTCTACTGTTCCTCTGCATTTTGTGCTGTAGCCAAGCTATTGCTTTGCAAGAAGTGGATTGCAATGACAACGAAGTGTTCAATGCCGTTGATATAGCACTGAAGGAATACAACAGGGGTAGGAAAAATGGACATCTATTTGCTCTCAATGTGATTCTTGAAGCCAGCAGAACAGTAAGTAAACATTTCAACAGTGAGAATAACTCACAAGAGAATATAAGAGTACATCATATTTTGTACCCTTTACATGTAAGGACTAGCGATTTATGGCAGAAGAAAAAAAATAATAATCAATGGGGCCATTTACATGGCATGGCATCATCCTCTATGGCACTCTCTCTCTCTCTTTTACTTTAATAGATCTGACCAGAATAAAATGAAATTCATACCAATATGAAGATGTCATCAACCCTGCGCTTGCTTGCTTGCTTGCTTGCTTGCTTGCTTGCTTGCTTGCTTGCTTGCTTGCCTCAAGTGTGGGGACACATGATTCATATTGGGACCAGTGGGCTCTGGCAGAAGTAGTCCTCCCTTCCAAGATGTACATGTGGGAATTCCCAAAAAGGAAAGGAAAAGAAAAGAAAAGAAGTCTGCATTTGTGTCACCTGAGGCTTCTTTGTTTCTTCTTTTGTCACCACCTCCCTGACGCCAGTGTTCCTAGTCCCACCACTATCTGGCAGGGGCTCCTGCTCTAAGAACCGCACTCTCCCCACAATTTCCCACAATGCTTCACAGCTGAGGGGGAGACGGGCTTGAAGCATCTGGACACTGGGAGGCCCTCAACTGCACACAGCTTTTGACACTGTCAGGACATGCTGAACTCGCAGATTTTGAGAATGTACGCTCGGATCCACGGGGAGACATATTTGTTATGAACCTCAGCAGTTTAATTGCACTGAGCCCCAGGAAAACCCTCTGCAGAGACAAACCTTATGAATTGTGCTGCTGGACAGAGGAATGCCCACCAACTACAAGCTTTTAGAACATACACAGAGTGTTGTATAGGTTCTGAGTCCATACATAGCAGCAGGGTTGATGATGAGCAAATAATGGGTACCTACCAACCGATAACGTATTCATGAACAAAACAATGTGAAGAAACTGCAGAGGGGACATGGCCTAATGGTACAATAAATATCAATGACATGGCAAGGAGAATCATGACAGGGTTTGGGTGTGGGTATTGATATGCAAAAAGATAGGGCAGTTTGCTGCAGCCTCCAATGCAGTGAAATACTAATAAAGTAACAAGCTTAACTTGCAACTAAAAATAGCAGAGTCTCAGGTGAGCGGAGAGTTGCAGCCTCTAAAATGAACAGGCCACTGATAACACTTCAGGGAGCAAAGGAAATCTGGCTTGGAATTCGCATTCTTTCTGGGCAAGAGCAGTAGGGACACTGCAGGTTTGATTTTATATTATGAAGGCACCTATATGCAACACTTTTCTATAAGGATCTATCTGGATTTCTGCAACAAGCTGTGTAGAGATGCCATGGCTGAAATAGGCAGCATGTAAATGTTTTAATTAATTAATTAACAACATTCAGATGAGCTTCCACACCCTACTAGGAATAAAACAAAGCTGCTACTCTCTGAAGGGGTTTTTTTGGGCCACATTCTCAGTATGGGGCAGAACAGATTTAGAACATGCAGAGGCAGGCCTACCATTTGGCAGCTATCCAAACGACCATGCAGAGGGCCGGCCTGGGAGCACTCGCTACAAAAAGGTTTTGGGGGAAAGCTGGCCGACTTTCTTTGCACACTTTCAGAAGCTTCCATTCTGATCTCTGCTTATTCGTCACTGCAGGGAACAGGGCTCCTTTGGAACCATGCATAAAATGCACTGTATCTCAGCAGTTTGCCATTAAGCACAAGTACTGCTCTAGTAGTAATGGCTCAAGGTTTAGTACCTTTTCCTTACAGTCCTTGAACTTGGTAAACACTTGACAGGAAATTTAGATATGCTAAAAGATATGTCAGCATGAGAGCCAGTCTGGTGTAGTGGTTAAGAGTGCTGGACTGGGAGCCTGGGTTCTAGCCATGCCACCAGCCATGGATATCGCTAGGTGGCTTTGGCCTAGTCACTCACTCTCAGCCTGGCCTACTTCACAGGGTTGTTGCTGCAATGTTACAATGCAGAGGATATGAACCTCTATTAATCAATTTTAATTGTATATTTATTTATTTTATTTAAACCACGCCATTTTTATGCTCAGTTCATGGTATAGCCAATTTATTTTGTTTAGGATTCATAATATTCTGTAAGCCGTCCAGAGACGACAGTGATGGACGGCCTATAAATCTCCTAAATAAAATCAATCAATCAATCAATCCTTGTAATGCATCTTGGGCTCATGGCAAGAGGAAGAATGGTAAGATATAAATGCAATGTAATAACAGACAATAGGAAGCAATTGTAATATTCTGCCATACACTCTTAAGAAATCCTTTTGAAACTCTTCTGCCTCCCAAGAAGCTGTGGCTCACTCTCAACAATGACACGAAGACTGCTAACCTAAATGTTTTCTCCAGGAAGGCCCTGGCAAAAATTTCCTTGTGAAGTATCAAATAAGAGAAAGCACTTGTGCCGTTGGAGAAGACATTCCCTGGGAAAAGTGCAGCTTCATAGCAGCCTCGGAGGGAGTAAGTATCCGTCTGCCTGCCTCCTCTTCAAGATGCAAGGGGCACGCGCGGGAACAGTGGGAGAACAAACAGTGCTGCCTTCAGCTCGAGCAGGATCGGCAGGCAGCAGTACTAGCCTTGGGTCCTGGCCCCAAATCCTTTTTTCTGAGCTCTGGGGGTATACTGGTGCAACTGGCTTAATTGCCATGCAGAAGGATTTTCAAGAGTTAACTCCCCCTTCCCCATATGATATAACATACGCCCTCCTCCAATTTCTCTATGGCAATTAAGCTTAGAAAAAATACTTTTTTCCATTGGGCTGGGGCAGGATGCACCTTCACTGAAAAAATTATTTGAGATTATTTGGGTGAAAAAAATAATTGGCTGGTTTTGCCTTCTGTGAAATTTAAATAGATCTTAGTAATTATTTCTACATTTCCATAAATAATTTTACATTTTATGCAGATTTGTGACCTAAGGACTAGGGTTCTGAGGCTTTTAAGTGTCTAGAAACACCACTTTTAAATGTCTAGAAACAACACTGGCTGATGGAATAGTCGTGTGAAGCAAGCCTTGGGATGTGATTAGAAGAACATGGCAGATAGACAAAGCAGCATCCAATGTTGCAGGAGAATTTGGCCTGGGAGTGACAAAAAAGGCAGGAGAATGACCCTTAGAAATATGTGAAACAAATAATCATATATTCTAAATACTTAGTTCAAGGAACCAATCAAATGACTGTATACAGAAATCAAACTGACTATGTATTTGAAAGCAGGACATGCAGAAGTTCCCTTTTCACTTCCAAAGCAAGGCCAGGAAGCCGACTGTGGCAACTCTTAATATCAAAAATCAGAGTAAAGCTGAAAAAGATCATTTACAAGCAAGGTGCCAAAATAAAACTTAAATAACATTGCTGAGGAATTTAAAGCCCACATAAAGAACGGATTTGCATTACTGACTATGAGCGAGAAGAACTGTGGACCAAAAAAGCACAGACTTTACAAGGAAATGCTGTCAAAAGACAATTCCTATAACTAAAAGAAACAAAAGGCATAGAGGGTCATAGGGAAACAAAAGCAAAAGGTGACAGAAGTAGGGTCAGAATCCTGGATGAAACTATACAGTGACTATCATGTAAAGCAGTGGTTCCCAACATTTCAATCCCTTGCACCCTTAGAAAATGTTTGATTTATGTTCATGGCCCCAGCAAAAGTACTATTACATTTGAAGATGAAATCAAATTTCTAAGTTTTGAACCACAAAATAAGCAACAGACAATACAACAGGCTTCCCATTGAAGTCCAGGCCCAATTCAAGGTGTTGGTGAAGACCTATAAAGCCTTAAACGGCTTGGGTCCTGGTTACCTGAAGGAGCGCTTACATCCATATACGCCCACCTGCCCCTTGAGAGCTGTGGGAGAGGCCTTTCTCCAGGAACCCTCCGTGAAGGAAATTAGGAGGGTAAGTACTCGGAGGAGGGCTTTCTCTACGGTGGCACCCAATCTATGGAATGCGCTCCCCAGAGAGGTCCGCCTGGCGCCGTCGTTATTTGTTTTTCGGCGCCAGGCAAAGACCTTTTTATTCAAACGTCATTTTAACTGTTAATACTATTTATTTATTTTATTCTTCGGCCAGGGTGACTTATTTTATATTGTAAACTTGTTTTATATTTTATTGTATTATATTTTAATTGATATATTTGTGAGCCGCCCCAAGGCTTCTGCGAATGGGGCGGCATAGAAATTTTATAAATAAATAAATAAATAAATACTATGGGCGAACAAATTGAGCTAAAAAAAGCTTTTAACTCATTGCATAAAATTCAAATATAAATTGAACAATTAGACAAATTATTGGGATAATTTTTGATTAAAAGGTTGTGATGTAACAATTTTGGCAAATCGCAAAGCAGCCTGTTGCACCCGCAGAATGCCATCTCACATCCCAACTTGGGAACAAGAGGCAAAAAGAGCTATTACAATGAACAGTACAAAGAAATAGAAGAGAACAACAAAAGAGGAAACACAAGAGGCCCCCTCCAGAAGAACTAAGCAGAGTGAATTTCAAACCTAGATTGGGAAGGTTGAATGACCAAGAGGAGAACATACTATGTGACCAGGAGAAAATAAAAAGAAGGTGGAAACAATATATGGAGGAACTATACCAAAGAGATAAAAAGATGCAGGACTCCTTTGAAGAATAATCGTGCATAGAATGAACTGATCCAAATCCTAACAAGAATGTGCCAAAACATATGGAAAACAAACAATGACACCCTCCCCCACAGAATAGAAATGTTCAGTACACATTCCAATCGTCAAGGTAGGGATGCAACGGCACACAACCACAGGATCATTACACTGATTTCCCATATAAGTAAAGTGATGCTCAAGGTGTTTGTTTATTTATTTATTTATTTAAAATATTTATATGCTGCCTACTCCACCTGTAGCATCTCTAGGCAGCTCACACTGCTAAAATGACACATTCTAAAAACACAATGTTAAAACTCAACAATAAAATTTTAAATAATAAAAACCCTATTCATTGGAATAAAAATATAAAATTCCAATGAATGAATAAATCCAGCAGGCCATAGTGGCATCCATGGGAGGAACCAGATATTAAAATTACTTTTTAAATATAAGTCTGGTACCAAAAGGAATACAAAAATGGAGCCAGGAGAATCTCCTTAGGGAGAGCATTCCAAATATGGGGAGCACCAACAGAAGGGGCCCTCTTCCTGTTACCCACCCCTTTATTTGCAACAAAGAATATTGAGTGAGAAATGGCTCATGTCCAAGCTGGATTCTAAAGAGCAAAAGATACTTGAGTTGATATTACAAATATGCATTCGCTACTGGAGCTCATCAAAGAATTTCAGAAGCTCAATCTGTGCATTATAGACTACAACAAAGCCTGTAACTGTGTGGAACATAAGAAACTATGGAAGGTCCTGAAAGCAATAGGTGTGCCTTGGTGCTTGACTGTCCTGATTCATAGCCTGTATTGTGGACAAGAAGCTACTGTTAGGACAGAAAATTGAGAAACAGAATGGTTTCCCACAGGCAAAGGCGTCAGACAATGATGTACTTCACCTCTCTATCCGTTCAATCTGTATGTAGAACAGATTGAAAAGAAAAGCTGGATAAGGATCAGAGGAAGGAGTACCAATTGCTGGAAGCCACAAGATATGCAGATGATACCATATTACTGGGAAAAAGGAGCAGTGAACTGAAAGGATTTCCAATGAAAGTAAAGAACATGAAAAAGCGGGACTGCAGCTGAACATTAAGAAAACCAAATCCATGACTGCAGAAGACCTTTGTTTTTCGGCACCAGGCGAAGACCTTTTTATTCAAACGTCATTTTAACTGTTAATACTGTTTATTTATTTTATTCTTCGGCCAGGGCGACTTATTTTATATTGTTAACTTGTTTTATATTTTTATTGTATAATATTTTAACTGATATATTTGTGAGCCACCCCGAGGCTTCGGTGAATGGGGCGGCATAGAAATTTTCTAAATAAATAAATAAATCACACAACTTGACTGTCACCAATGAAGAAACTGAAACTGTGAAAGATTTAGCACGCTTTGGCTCAGTCATCAATTCAAAGGGAGACTGAAACCAAGAAACTAGAATACTGATCTTAGAAGGGGAGCAATGAAGGAACTAGAAAAGATGTTGGATGTTGCGCTGGAGACCAAGGCCAAGATCATCCACACTATTGTATTCCTGATCACTGCAGGCATGAAAGGTGGACAGTGAAGAAAGCTGAAAGGAACAAAATTGATCTGCTTGAAAGCTAAAGGAGTGCTTTGTGAATACCTTGGGTGGACAGAAAGACAAACAAATGGGTCCCAGATCAAGTCAAGCCAGAACTGTCTCTAGAAGCAAAATTGACAAAACTGAAGCTGTCATACTTTGGGCACATCTTGAGAAGACAAGAGTCACTGGAGACAACAATCACACTGAGGAAAGCTGAAGGAAGAAGAAGGAAGCAAAGACCAAATATGCAATGGACAGAATCCCTAAAGGAACCTCCAACTTGGAATTTGCAAGAACTGAGCAGGGTTGTCAAGAGCAGGACATTCTGAAGGGCATTCATTCATAAGTTGGAGACAACTTGATGGCTTATGACAACAAAGGATGGGCATCTGCATATGTAACTCCCAGATTTACACACAGGAAGCAGCTGAGACTCCAGGCGAGGGCTCCTAGGAAGAAAAAGGCTATAACTGAAGCAAGCACACAAATGAATACAATTGCACATAAGCAGCATCTGTGTGGTTATCTGTTCACATGATAGCTAGCACCCAGGAACAAAGCCCTTACATCCCTAGCAAATCCACTGCTGCCTGGGACCCTAGAAAAGAGATATATTTGCTGCTGACAATTCCAAAGACTTTCATTTCCATGGTAATCCCATCGTTTACAGAGATCAATGTACTCACTATTAATTCCATATCAGACTCGTCCATGCTGTCTTTCAAATAGCTAACCAAGATTATCTTTTTCGAATACTGTGTCATTTCATGAATGATGTTTAAGCAGTTCTCCAGTAAACATTCATCTTTTTCTCTTCTTTTCTCATGAAGCTACCAACCATAGATAACACCGTTCCTCCTAAACCATGTTTCCAGCAATGATCTGTTATATGATAACATGTTTTCACTTGCTTACTTTCAACATTACATTAATCCTTTGGGTAAACAAAAGATCAACAGATCTCAGGATATCTATGTAAAGAAGTCATTGCTGGATAAGTTCAGGATGGAAACGGTATAAAATAATATTTTTAAAAGAATTACTTATCTAAATCAGCTCATACATCAAATATAATGTATGTATTTATTTTTCAAGTACACACTCTGCCTGGCAAAGGCACCTAAACTTTTAAAACACATCTTTACAAAGTCAGTAAAATACTTCTAAAAGATCGGTTTAAAAGTCATTGGGTTAGATCCAGATTTAGGTGTGTGGACTGGAATGACACAAGTGACCTTCCTCAGCCCTCTTCCCCATTGCAGCCCACCAATCACCTAAAAACACCAGCAGAGAGTTGGCAGACCATGTTGAATGGTGTGAGTTCTGAAAGGGCAAGGGGATCTCCTGAAAATTAGTAAAGGTACCTTTTATGAATGGAGACCACCTAGCAACACCAACAGAGAGGTCAAACAGTAACACTCACAGATAATAATTTCAGCAATGATCATCAGAACAACCAGCTACCAGCAAATGCTTTAGAAGCAAACATGTTACTTTTTGGCAGAATGATATAAAAGCAGTACCAGGGCCATACACATAGAGTGGATGGATGGGAAAAGCTCTGCTCCTTGGCCTTGCTACTTTAACGAGGGCAGAAAATGGAATAGGACCCACAGCATCCTCCTTAGAACTGTGAGAATGAGAAGGGATACACAGGAAGAAAACATTTCCTAGAAGTGGCAAGAAGTATTAGAATTTTGAAGGATACAGTACTCTGGCTGTCTAGATGGCCATGGGAGAGCTCAGAGCTGGGACTGTTCCCTCTGCTGTCACAGTCAGTGTGGTTCTTTCTGCATTGGCTGCAGCTCTGAGGATGGAAGACTGGCCTGGGAAATTATGCTAGTGAGTAGTTCTGGGAGGACATTCCTGGAGGACTGGCAAGGGGAGGCATGAGGTTCTGTTGGGGCCTCAAGCAGCCCACCTCACAAGCAGGTGCAAAATACTTATTTGGCTGCAGGTGTCTTGTGGAGTGGTTAGAAGAGCAGGTGTGTCCTTTGCCTGCGTGCTCTTTCCATTCTTAGTAGGATGCCCATAATCTTGCAAGTTTGGAAGGTTATGGGTAGCCACAAGTTGCAAGACCACTGTGGAAGTGCCCTTCATTCACCCCAAACATTCCAGCCTTGTGTTTGAGGGTTGGGGAAATGGATTCTGCAGATCTGAACTGAAGCAGAGGCTATCTGCACATGGTACTGAATGGCTGGCCAGCCAGGAAATCTCCCAATCCTTGGAACAGTTTAGCACTTTAAAAAGTTTAGCACTTTAAGGCAAGGAACAAATGAGCTTTCTACAGCGTCTTTAAAAACAAAGAAGCAGCTCAATTACCTGAAGCAGGGGAATAGGGCAAGACTGATCGAGAGGCAATATCCCTTTTGCTGATATCTTCTATTTCAGTTGCGAAACCAAAAGGAAATTGGTATTATTATTATTTGTGGGGGTTAATTATTAATTGCTGGTGAGGCACAAACTAGAGTAAGTATGATGTGGCCACATTTCTATGGAAGGCAGAAGAAAGCTAAATTTTGCCCTTTGTCTCCTTGTAGGACTCAGGCGAGTGTTTAGCTGAAGTTCACATTGATGATTCTTTAAACCTTTCCAGTGTTCAGCAGACATGCCAAATCAACCTAGGTATGTTCATTTTAAGGGAGCACTCAGAAGGTGGACTGAGTGGGATTGTCTAGGAATGGTGAAAAGAAACGTTCATATAAAAGGAGGACAGCTTTCCCTAAGCTGGTGTCTTCCGAATTTGTTGGACTATAATTCCCATCATGCTCCCACATTGGCCATACTGGCTGGGAGATGATAAGAAGTGTAGTCTGACTCATCTGAAGGGTACCAGGTTGGGGAAGGCTAGAGTAAGGAAACATCCTCCAGAAGATCTGGCACAGAAGCAGTGCCAGAAGATTTGATTAAAAAGCCTTCTTGACTTAGCGATGTCCAAGCGGTGGAATTCCCTATGAAGGGGGCCTAGGTCTACACCGTCTCTGCCGAAAGTCTACCAGCAGGCAAAAACATTTTGTTTGAGCAGGCTTTTGGCACTGAAATGGTTCTTGTTGATTTGGATATTGTTTCTCTTCTGTTGTTGTGTTTTAATTGTGTTTTAATGCATTTGTTTGCTATTGCTTCAGTCAACTTTTATTTATGGTTGCAAGCAATCTGGATTCTATTTTTCTCAGCTGAAAAGTAAGGATACAAGTAAAAAAATAAATAATATTGCAGTTAAATAAATATCCCAAGTTTGATTATGATGTGTCAATTCAGTACAAAACTGGAGTTGGACTAATAAGGAGACAGGAATTATAAAGGAAGGCTCTGAAAAAGTTACAGAGACAGAGACAGAAAAGACAAGCCATAAGGAGACTGGTAAATAGTAGGAAAGGAAGCAAAAGAGGCAGAAACATTATGTCCCCCACAGATTTAACATTTGGGGTGGCCCCACAGCCAACTGCCAGTAACTGAGTCCAGGACTGCAAAGCTTGACACCTTCCTTAGGACAGAACCTGTATTTAAATAAATTGACAGTTGGGCTCCCTTCCCTCTGGTTTATGGACTAGAATATTAAATTGTATATTCACTTGTATTTTCTGTTTTGATTCTTCTTTCTTTTCCCCTTCCTTGCTTAATTAATTCACATGAACAAAAGAAAAGGCATACTAGATTAGACCAAAGGACCGTCCAGTTCAGTTCTGTCCCCACTGCGATCATGCAGTTGACTGCGGAAAATCCACAAGGAGGACATGAGCACGAGGGAGGTTTATGTTTCTGCCCCAGATTAATAGGAACCTGCATTGCTTGAAAACCTCTTAGTTAAGCTTCTTTTATAAAGGTCCAGTTTTACTTTAAGTCTATTTAACAACTTGCTTCAAACTTACTTATAAGGCAATGGTGACACCTAGTTGTCACCAACATTAAATTGCAGGTGTGCATATTCCACAACGGGATTTTCTGACTTCTTTCTGAAAACTGAGAAAATTATCTGTGTTGTGTACTCCTGAGAACTACAGCTGAGATTCCAAAACCTGGCAGAAGTTCCTCCTTGGAGGATACCACCATGGACAAACTTTCCCTACTCCTCCAAATGCACCAAATGTGCATATTATATGGAGGCTGCTTTGTTTTCATCTAGATAAAATTCACAGGACAGAGGAATAGGGGCTTAAAATTGAGTAGGATTGCTACCATCAAGTCCAGCAACAGTATGTATATGTTTACAGCAGGAAAGAACAGATGGGAGACCGAGATCTGCTAATAATTCTCTGGTTGATCTGCAATATATCTGCAAGAGCTTCTGACCTTCAGTTGCCAACAACAGTACCACGACTAAAATGACTTTGCCCTCTAAATAAGGCTGCTGAAAAAGAACACTGGGTGTGTGGATCAGAAGTAGACTTGGATGTGGAACGATTTTTATTTGTTTATGACATGTATATCCTACCTTTTTTCCACTTGCAAGGAACCCAAGCTGGCTTCCATAATCCTTGTATTCCCCCTTGTATCCTCAAAAGAACAATCCTGTGAGGTAGGTTAGCCTGCGAGTGAGGGGCTTGCCCATCACCCAGTGAGCTTCATGGCCAAGTGAGAATCAAAACTCATATGTTCGAAGTCAAAATTCTCTCCCCTGTTGTTGTTAGTCGCGAAGTCGTGTCTGACCCATCGCAACCCCATGGACAACATTCCTCCAGGCCTTCCTGTCCTCCACCCTACACCATAGGTTATCATACCAATTATAAGTTCCTGCACTGAGCATGTGCTTATGAACACCTTGTTCCTTACTTCTTAGTGCATGTTTGTCTGCCTGGGGGTCCAGTTGCAGGACCCAGGATTCAAGTGAAAAAAGTAGAGCTCACAAGCCTGAAGTCCACCCATTCTTACCTTACAGTTGCTGTACCTTCCCCTTTATTCCTCTCACTCGCAATCTTTGCATGTTGACTTTGTCCACCAGAGTGGTGCTAGGTACCGAAAAAACACACAGATTCACATCTGCTAATCTCGATATGTTCTAAAGTCTGTACGTCTGTCAGTGTGTGCATTTGTGCATCTGTGTGTGTGTTTCTTGGAAGGATCTTGTCTCCTAGGGAGACATTTGATTTCAGGAAAAAACCTCGGGCTGAAAAACTCAAGATGGGGGGCAGCAAGAAATGAAACCCATGTGGGGAAAAAGCCACCTAATCCAATGGGAATCAGATGCAACAGCCTTCATTTAGGGCCTCGTACTTTTATTTCAGCAAGTGCCCCTGGACAGCAATTGGCCTCCTAGAGATTTGAGGTTCCAAATAAAAGATTTGGGACTCCAGCTGTATTTGGCCCTGACACTGTCTCTGGTCCAGAAGGACAATAAAGATGACGCTATGTGACTGAACTGCTTTTCTCTTTACATTTCTATCAAAAACAACTGCAATAGGGAGGGGGTGTGTCAGAGTGGGACATTTTTCCTACCATTATTTTTCTGTTATGAATTGCACCTCCACCAGATATTTGACATCAGGAATCACTGTTTCCCCTAAATGCCCCTATTCTTACCTGTAGGGCTTGCTACCTTGACACATTATGCAAGGAAGTTGGCTCACTGTATCTGATCTGCTTGTTTTTCAGCCCCAGGGAAGGTGGCCTCCTCCCAAGCTCCATGCCTCGGTTGCTGGACACGCATAAGCACCAAGGCTTCAGAGCTGCAACCAGTTGTGAAACATGGCATAGAGCTATTTAACAATGAAAGTGATGAGAATGCCCTTTTTGGAGTGAAAAAAATATTAACAGCAGAGAGTCAGGTTTGTATGTGCTGTCAGAATGACCCATTTCTATTTTGCAGAAGGAGGCCTTCTGGGTATGTTTATGGTCAGGTCTGCAAAATCAGATGTCCAGAAAGCTAGGGAGAAGGAGGGGGAAATTCAATCCTCTCTCTGAACCATGTTTTATATTTTAAAGCTGTAACATTTAAATGGGAAAGAACAGTATTAGATGAATGAATGGAAAGCTTGGAAAAATACATATAACATTGCTGATGATGGCCATGCAGTTTTCTGTAGCTGTTTCCCTGCTCCATTACCACCTCCAACTACCAAGCAGGTACTTTAGTGAGTCATTTGCAAACTTTCCTAAATATTTTTTCCAGGTGGTCGCTGGATGGAATTACAAAGTTCAGTATTCCATAAAAACAACAAATTGTTCCAAGGCTGAATTACCTCTTCTGACTCCAGAATGCCAGGCCATTCCTGAAGGTGTAAGTGAGCCTCTTTGTATATATTACTATCCCCAAATTTGTAAAAGTTTCACAATTCTGTTCTCTCTCTCTCTCTCTGCATGTGCATGTCTGTCTGTCTATGGAATTGTATCCAAAATAAGATAGAGGAAAAATCCAGGATGTACATGAATGATGTGCATCAGATTCATTTGAAGCCCTATCTATCTATGGAATTGTGTCCAAAATAAGACAGAGGAAAAATCCAGGATGTACATGAATGATGTGCATCAGATTCATTTGAAGCCCAAGCAGAAATGGGACATTTCTATCCATTGCTGATGCTTCCCAAAGGGAAGTTGGCTTTCCTTCAAACTGAACCAGAACTGACACTAAATTATTATTATTATGCATCTGCTGTTTAGAAATGTGGAACTTTTATACCTCTGGCAAATCGTATATTTTGTTTCTTTGAAACTTTGGCCAGGAGAAGGATGTACAGTGGTACCTTGGCTCACAAACGCCTCAGTTCACGACCAAATCGGGTCGCAACCATAAATGTCATAAAAGATTTGCTGCAGGTCACGAACTCTGCATTGGGTGACGATCGCGAGCGGGGGGGAAGATGGCCGCGATTGCTCCTGTGTTCCCTGCTCGAGCACGCCCGCGCCCGCCTCCCCCCACCCCCCTGCACGATCACTGCAGGGGAGATGGCCACGATCTTTGTTGTTCTTTGTCACTTTGCTTCAAATTTTTGTGAGTAAAAAAATAGTTGCAGAACAGATTGGCCCTTATGGGGAAATTTGACTTGGCTCACGACAATTTGGGCCACGACCAGAGTCCTGGAATGGATTAAGTTCGTGGGCCAAGGTACCACTATACAGCTGAGTGACTGACAGATCCACTTTCTGATCCTTGGGCATGTTTTACCAGGGAATCCAGACATTAGGAGAGAACTAGAGTTCTATTGAGTTATTCAATAAAATTCTCACTGTCCTTCATTTTGTTTCAGTTGTATAGCATAGTTGGAATAGTGATAGGTTAGCGACGAAATGACAGGTTCTTGTGTGATACAGTGGGGTCGCTTCATTTCAAGTTTTCTTCATGATTCAGTCTTTCTGCATTACCTCAAGCCCTTTCCCTGCAGAATCTTTCTCTTTGTCAAACATTGCAATTTTTCTGTTGTTCATTGTTGTTGTTGGTGTGTGTCTTTGTGCAGATTTATTTAGTGAATCTATTTTCCCTTTAACTTGAACCACTCCCTTTTCTCCTATGCCTCCCCCTGCCCAAAAAAAAGGCAGCTCTTAATAAGGGATGGAAATATTTGAGTTTGGGAGCAAGGAAAGGAAGAACCTACTCAAAAAAGGGAGGAAGGGAGCTCATTGGAAAAGTAACTGAAAAGTGGAAAGGATGGCGCAAAAGAGATAATTTCTGGTAATTCTCTTCAGACTGCAGTTTTGATCCCATCTTGAATAACAGTCCCATATGGAGGCTCAAATCCAGTGGTACTGTGGTTAATGTTCGTGTCCAAGAGCTTGCCATGACAGAGTATGTTTCAGGAGTGTCAAAAACATTTCTTCCAGGGGAGATTTTTAGACAGAACTCCAAAGCAGAGAGGGTTGGGTCAAAGGGCAGGGGGGTTCAGTCAAAATTCCCAATATTTTAGCATATTTTAGCCTAAAACTCCTACAGCAAGTAACGAAAACTTAGGAGAGGCAATTTAATATTTTTTAATGAGGGTGGGGTGTGGGCATGCAAAAGCTGGAGAACTACCCAAAAATCAGTGGCTGAGAGGTTATTGGGAGCCACCTGAGGATGTGAGGGAAGATGTGCAGCCCTCTGGGGAGCCACAGGGGGCCAGATCAGGTCTCCAAGGCCAGTTTTATCCCCCAGACTCAAACTCAGCTCTTCTACCATATACATTAATTCATACATATACACACAAACCAAAAAACTGGAGGACATAGCAAAATAGCCGTTTTCTTAAGATCTGCATGACTGCAACTCTATGCATAGTATCCTGGGAGCAACGATAAACTCATCCGTGCTTGCTTCTCACTGCATAAATTCAGCCTATGGAACACATTCAGCTGGACTGAACCAACCCTCAGAAATCCTCCTGCTTACGCAGTACTTTCATTTAGAACAGCCTTTCCCAACCTGGTACCCTTCAGATGTGCTGGGCTACAATTCCCATCATCTCGCAGCCAGCATGGCATATTTATTGTGATGGATGCTCCAACAACCTTGTGATGTGAGCCAGTGCTATTCCCATTTTACAAAGCACGAAAATCCAAAGTGGAGAGAAAGGGGTAGAGGGAGACAGGCTCCGACAACTTCGGGGCAGACTTGAGGGCTGCACTATTGTTTAACTACTGGACTACAGCAGGTGTTTTTTTTTCCGCCTCCCTTCAGGGACTTTTTGACATTCAGCCAAAGCACTTCAGGAAACAGCACGGTAATAAGTTGTGCCTTTCCTCTTGGCAAAGAGAGCTGCATTGGCACAGTTGCCAAAAGAAATAAAAAGATTAAGAGAGCAAGCAATTTAACTTGAGGCAGAGATTTCTATAAAAAGGAAGTTGCTAAATAATCCTCGGCCGCCTGTATCTGCAGTGCAGCTGGAAGGAGTGGGACTCTGATTTCACACATGAAGATTCCAGCCAGGCTCACCTGGAATTTACCAGCTACTGGTGGGGAAACAGCTGGTATTTTTCTCTCCCTTTTCTAGCATTCAGTCTCATGGATAGATTAAGGCTGATAGTGTATCCAGAAGAAAGTGTGGTACTTTTTCCCTGAGACCGTGACCCACACATCTTTGTTAAGTAGAAATGCAGCTGAACTAAGTGTGTACTGGAGAGAGAGAATTTAATAGAGATGCAAAATGATCCATAAGATGCTGAGAGCCAAAATGGAATAGCAGTTTAGAGACTTCACTCTGAACTAAGAAATAATCTTGCCTATGGGTTGGGCTTAGGTAAGCCCAAGTCCGTAGGCACAGTAACTTTATTTCAATCCTGCATTTCTATATACATTATGCCATCCTTACACTACACCATAGGATAAGCATGCCTGCATCCATTTATCTGATTTCTGGTGTGGGGCTGCTTGTATATATTGTTTAAGCTCCTTTGCTTGGTAACTCAACACTTAAATAAACCATGTGCATGGATAGTACCACTGTTTTCTGAAAGTTCTGAAATACATTTTACCTTTCAGCTCTTTACCTTTCAAATCAAACATCTAGTGCACTTTCTGTGTTCTGTGCTAAAGGGCACATATACTTAGATTTCCCAAGACAACATAGCATGATTATTTGCATGCCATTGGGATTCCTATCAGTCTGAGTCTCTATATTGTTACAGATTCCCAGAGAAGGAGCTGGAAGGAGCTAGGAATTCTCATCCCTCCCTGTCACAGGTCTTTTTGTTGGTGGTGCAGAGTTCTTTTGATGCTTCATTAATGAACAATAAATCTGGTTTTGAAAATTTCCGCTGCCTTATAAGGAAGAAAAATGAATTTGACTGGGGAAAGAAATTGGGATCTCACTACGATTCAATGGACTGTATTCCTTTTTTCCTAATCTGCTTCTTTTTCCACTTCACCCAAGAAGGACATAACTTGAGATGTATTTATAAGGGTCAAGCTTGAGATTTAAATACTAACCAGAAGTATTTATATTTGTGCCCAGGACTTGTGACTTCATCTTTTCTTTTCTTTTTCCCTTTGTGTTCCCCTCCAGCGTGAGGGTATCTGCACAATCACTGCCTATGTGCACTTTACAAATGAGCTTGTGAGTGCGACGCAGGACTGCAAACTTAAAGGTTTGTAATTGCTCCTTCCATGCCTCAAACGCCAAGAATTTCACATGTCCACATTTTATGTATTCAGCTGCATGGGTGTCTGTTTCATTGCTAATAACTTAGATTTTGAAAAAATGGAAAGATCAATGGAAGGCGGCTTTGTGAACAGCTATTTTAGCTAAATTGAACCTTCAGTATATAGCTGAATAGTGAATGCTGGAAATAAATAAGGGAAGGTCATCACGTTTATGACTTGCTTGTGACTTCCAGAAAGCAGCTGGAGGATTTGTTTCCTAGGGCTTGGACGTAGATATTTGCAGTTAATATACAACACCAACAAATGAGAACAAGAAGACTCATTTGGAACCTTTTCCTAGACTTAAAAAGGGTTTTGACAAAATTCTTCACCAAAGACTGCTCAGAAAGTGTAACCGCCATGGAATATGAGGAAAGACCGTCTTATGGATCAGTAACTGGTTAAAACAAGAAGCAGAAATAAAAGGTAACTTCTCCCAACAGAGCGACATAAACAGTGGTGACCCATCTGCAGTTTTTTTTACCACCAAATTATTTAGGGTGCTAAAATTAAAAGGAATTTGAAGGTATGAGCAGTGAAGAACCATGTTTGCTGGTTACAGCAAATTATCTAGGGTGCTTGAAAGAAAAATGTATTTGAAGGAGCATCAAAAGGATCCCTCCATATTGTGAGAACAGGCTTATGGACTGGCAAATGAATTTCAGTAAGTATAGGATAAACCACGGAATAGACCATTTTTTCTTCTGTGTGGGTCCATACAGACCATCCTTACCACACTTGCCCTTGCTGCTGAGTTCAGACGTAATGACAAGCCATGCAATTGTGGTTTACACTGTAGCTTGTCGTCGTGTCTGAACCTGGACATAGTGATGGCCACTCAAAGGGCTTCCACCAATTCACTGGGAATGACGCTATGAGTGGCTACTAGCCACGATGGCTCTCTAGTATGTCCAGTATAGGAAGCCATATTCCTCTGTATGCCAGTTGCTGGAGAACATGAGCAGGAGGTTGCTGCTGTTCTCCTGTTCTGCTTTCAGGCTTCCTACAGGCATCCGGTTGGTCACTGTGTCAGCAGCAAATATTCATTATTCTGCATGGCTCTTATCATCTTAGAATGATCAACTAATCCAAGTAACACGTGAACCCGAGCTGCAAATCAAGAATCCTTTGATTTGAATAACATTTGTGGGGGGTTTTTTTTAACAGCTGACGAAATTGTTCCTGCTCCTGTTTGTGTTGGATGCCCAGTAAGCATTTCAATTCACAATCCAGAACTGCAGGAACCTCTAGCAGCTGCTCTGGAAAAGTATAATTCAGAAAGCCAGAATGACTTCCATTATGCAATCGTACAGATAACAAAAGCAACAAGCCAGGTTGGAACATTTCTGTTACATTTATATTTCAATTTTGTTCAGACTCAGTGTTCAGTTGGGGTGATCTGTTCAATATGGATCTGAATTCTGTTCAAAC